AATAGCAATAGTGGGCCATCCCCCTTTCTGCCTGGTGGTGCCCCTTGCTGGGCTATGTTCTTGATAAACAGATGGCCGAAATCAAGTCCAGAATCAAGTGAAGACTCTGGTCCACGTGGAGGCCTTTAAGCTGAAAAGTCTCCTTGGACACAGAGCTCTCTGAGCCTGCTGTGCCAGCGCCCCGTCACACATACAGACGTTAAATGACGCGCCTGTAAGGATGGGTCCAGGTCAACTAAAAGCCACTTTTCAGTCTCTTCAGAGATCAGCTGGCTGGTTTTCTAGCAAAGAAGCAGGGTAAAATGGCTCCAGTATTTCCCTCTCTTCAGTCTCTGGGCATTTCTGTCCTTCCAAGCTCATTTCTCTTGAATGAGGGTAAAAATTATCCTATAATTGGCATCATAAGCTTGACTGTATAATATAATATTAAACTTTACAACAAGCTCAAAGTTGAGCTTCAGCCAATCTGACTCCTATTCAAGTATACAATATATTTTATTAATAGAAAGTGAAAAGGAAGTTTATGGAAAATTTAAGACACCAGGGTATCTGTGACACAAGCCCAGCCACTTTTCGAAATCATTCTTGCCCAAGACTTCCAAGACATGTGCAGCACCAGGTGAAATCATAACTCTGTGAAAGAGCTACACCCCCAAAGACTTTGCCTGCGTGATGGCCACGAACTTTGGAGATGGATTTGTCTGCAGCTGCAAGTGAGACATGGACCTGTTGCTATGGCTGGACCCAAAAGCCAGTCTCAAATATAGAGGTGAGGGCCTCCACCTGCTCCTCATTCAGGCTCTTAGACACAAGGCAGTGGAATTCTAGAATGCTGTGGCAGCTGTCCCTGCCCCCAACACACACATACATATTCCTATTTGACACATATACGAGGGGCCCCTCATGCAGTGTTCACTAAGATAACCCCTCTACAGAAGGAGTCATGAGACATGCCCTTTCTGTGAGATTAGCCAGAAATGATACATTTGAACATCCAGCAACATTTTTCATAAATAAGCCAGTTACCGTCATTCTTACCTTCATCGTTACGTTCTGATTAATTTTAATATGCTTTTCTCAGGCCATCATCTCCCCACAGAAAACAGAGAATGAGCCGTTGAGCACCGGCCATAAACACACTCCGGGATGGAGGCGCACTGAAATGACAGAGCCATTTGCACACGTACGTCATCTGCTCTGTCTTGCTGTTTGCACGGTGATCCCGGTTGCCGAGGCTCTGCCCCCGAGGGCTTCCCAAGGACAAATACGGGTGTGTGAAGGAAATAACAAGACGTACACTTGCTAAGTTATAAACACCGAGTTCTCAGCCCAAAGGCTTCAAAGAAACCCACGCAGGTCTGATGAAAACCAAGAGGTCAGATAGGGGGAAAAAAAAACAAAACCCTTATTAGTGAGGTTTAGAGCTTTCTTATAAACTTCTGGAAGGCATTTCACAAACTGTTAACCATAGTGAACTCTGGGAAGGAAGACTGGGGTAGAGACAGAGTCCTTCCATGATGTTCCCTTTACTGTGTGTGCATTTTCACCACCTGCGTGTGCTGTCTCCAGAGTAACAGAACAAAAAAGATACCTGGAAAAATAGTTTCATAATCATAAGCTCTGGTCTTATATGGTTCCTTTTATACAGAGTAGCAATCTCACAGAAGACTGTAAAGCTGCAGAGAAGCTGAAACAGGTTCTAAAGAATAAATCTGGGTACAACACGAAAACTGAAATATACGTACTATCCAGATTCAAGAGGAGAAGAGCTTCCTTGGTAAAAACAACAAACACTATGGTTCACAATTCCAATGTGCTGGCCTCATCTGGGACAGCTGCTCTTCCCTTAAGTTTTTGCAACTCGGGCAAAGCAGAAAAGTGGGCAGCCTGGGCACTGCTGGCTGAGTCCAGGTCCAGGAAGCCAAGGGCTCTTCTGGAAAAAAGGCTGGTTTTGAGGGCAGCTCCTGAAGGCTCTAAAGCTGCAGAGGAGGTCTGGACAGGTCACTAAAGGCCCTGGGGGATAGATTCTGCTCAGTCTTGAGGCAGGACACTGGGTCAGACGTTTGTGACTAGTAATAGCTGAATACTTGAAGACTAATATGAAACAATTTCTTTAGATCTTCCTCTGAATTCTGTATTAAGTCACTAACACTGACAGTTGTTTTAATAAAGAGTATTATGTCACATCACTGAATGAAAAAGTAACTTCTCTTTTAATAAATTAATTCAATGCTGGGAAGACTGGCTGTTGGAACCACTGGGCCACATTCCAGCACCATTCATCACCGTATACCAAAAAACTTAATCTTAATCGCAGGAATTACTAGTAAGTGAAAAAAAAAAAAGCACCGACAGCCTTATGAGTGCTGGCCTCCAAAACCTGTCAGGTAACGGCAAGTGTCTCAGTCTCAGTGAGAAACAGACAACAGGCTGGCACTTGCTGCAGCCTCTGCTCTTGCAGACTGCTGGGAAGCTGAATGCAGCCTTTGTGCCGGAGAACAATAGGGCTGCTGAACAGTGGTAACACGGGGCATGTGCGGAGCCAACGTTTTGCAGCCTGTTGATTTTTTATGAACTACTCCCAAGGCTGACTCAGTATATGTCTTTTTTTTGTTTTTTTTAAATCTCTTTGGACATGATAAACGTTGCCACCTCTTATGTTCAACTGTGAGATTGTTCAATATGCTACAAAGCAGAGACCAAGGCCTGGGACATTCTGTTACTTGTGAATTTCTCCTTGGGAAAGAAGGTCCGCCACATCTCCCATTCTGCTTATCACCTTATGAGGTTTTAGTTTTTGAAAAGGGCCCAAGAGTTCCCAGGTGGTGCAAACGATTAACGTGGTTGGCCGCTACCAAAAAGTTGGTGGTTTCAGTCCACTCAGAGGTATCTCAGAAGAAAGGTCTATTGATCTCCTTCCAAAAATCATCCATTGGAAACCCCATGGAGTACAGGTCCGCTCTGACATGCATGAAGTCGCCTTGAGTCGGAGTTGACTCGATGGCCACTGATTGAAAAGGGCTCAGCTCTGGACAGCAGCTCTGTGAGACATGCGTTCTTGTTCCTGTATCCAAGCTGCCTAGCTCATAACCATGCCATCACATGACAGGCAAACCTCCTGAGTGAGAAGGCTCACTCCCAGTCAGACAGCTGCTGGTTACAGTAGAGCCTGTTAATCTTCTGTCCCCGCATGAAAGGCACAGAGGCTCTCAAGGCATGCCGCCATCCTCTTCACTGCTGTGGACAGGCGCTACTTACAGCAGACCTGATTCTGACTTCCTGGACCCTACCCTGTAGCCACACGTGTGCCCCTATCTACTTTCAAGGCCAACAGCTAAAAATGAGCGACAGCAGAAGAGAAGGGCAAAGGGAGACCATTAAAATACCCTGGATGTGAGGCTCCCGCGGAGTGATATTCCACCCCAAGGGTAAAATTTTCCATGACTCTTGTTTAGAAAACCAGATGTGTTACATTTTTTTCCTTTTCCAAAGCGTGTGGATGCACCCGTGGGAAACACCCAGCATTTGTCCCTCGATGCAGTAGGTGTCTGGATAAATGGCAATCAAGGAATCCTATGTGAGTTAACCCCAAACACTTTATAGGATCGACTGGCAAAATTTCCTTCAGAAATAATGAAACTAGTAGATCTTAGATTGTTATTAATTATTTATAAAGTAACATTCTATTTTCTAACTGGATCACTGCTAGAAAACTCATTCCATGACCTAAAATCTCTCCATGGACACTGAGGGAATGACACACTTCCGAATAACTCTAATTAAAAGTTCCTTTGAAAGTGTTACTTCATGAGTTACATTATACAGGGAAAATGAAGGGTAGATGGGTGTACAGAGAAAACAGCTGTGTTTTTTTTTGGTGATTTGTATACAGAGAGAACGCAGTTGAGAGAAATAAGAATTTCCCCTTAGCCCGAGCTTAGCACGTTATCCCTTCTCATCTGTATCTGAGCCAGCGTTGCGGTAACACCGGTGCTCACTCTCACTTGCTGTGGGAGGCTCTGGGCTGCAGGCGCCTGGGGAGGGAGGAGAAGCAGCTGGGCTGTCAGGTGCAGAGGGAGCGGCTGACAATGTCTGCCTAGAGCCTGGGCCCTCGCCCGGAGTGACCGCGGCAGGCGCGAGCCCCAGCCCTGCTCATACACGCCTCAACACGGGAACCTCGAGGCTTGGTGGAGCCTCTGGGAAGCCACGCAGGGTAAGAAGCGACTCAGACTACAAGGTCTGGAGCAAGAAAGCTAACACGGGGTCCCTCTCAGGAGTCACTGTGTCCCACGCTGCCAGCACTGCTGTTTTCTGTGAAAATGCAGAAAGTCTGGATGGCACCACGAGCAGCCTTTGGTTTACTAAGGCCTGTGTTTGCGGGGTCTGGCAATACTAATGATCACTTAATATTATGACACTGGCATCCCACCTTTCTTTACACATGCTTTAATTTTTTTTTTAATGTCATCACATACTTTTCTTTGGGGTATTTCGTTTCAAGTGGCCCAAAGAAAACCTGAAATTCTTTATACACGTTTGGGGTTTTTTTAAACAACTCTTCTTTACTCCTACACATTAAAATGCCAAATCAGGGATGCTGCTGATGTCCATTCAGCTAAACACCAGCAGAAAAAGAGCCCTGGAGTTCTTCTTCTGGCAATGCGTTCAGAATGCACTCATTTCCTCCACCCTTTAGGAGTCCACGCTACAATACTGGCCCCGAGGAGGGTGCACTCCATTGACCTGATCCTTACTATGGCCTTTACTTATAAACGTGCATGCCAACCTAATTCACCAGCTTACATGAAAATGGAAATCTGAATCATGTGATTTCCAGCAAGAATATGGCCTCACAAACAACGGCAGGCTGTCATAGTAGGCCCGACGAGTTTCCTGTGACCTGGAGCACCAGCACTTACCATAAGAGGACAGAGAAGTGGATCAGGAACCTCCTCCCTCAAGCACAGGTAAAACGCACATCCTTGGGTCTGGCCACACACCTGTTTGTGGTGCTGTCCCAGGTCTGCACTCTGAAGCCGTGATCCATGGGCACCCATCTCCACCGGGCAGTGCTGGGGATACTCCCCTATCGTAAAGCCGAGGCCCCGGTCATCTGCATCACCGCCTGGGCCATCGTCCTTGTGGTCCCCCTGGACTCCAAGCTCAGCAAGCTCGGGGAGGCTCTCTGGATGCTCGCCCTGGAAACACAGGACATGATGCTCACAGCTCCACCCAAGGCCTTTGCTGCCCAGTCTGATTTTTAGGATTGGAGGATAATTATCCATTTGATGGGTTATCAAGTCCTCTATTTCTCAGTTCCTTCTCCAGATGCGTTCATTTTGGCCATTTATTCATTGGTATTTCCTCCATTTAAATAACACAGAGTGGACGTTCAATTTATTAGAAAAAATTTACTATTTACAAGTTGCTATTGCTTATAGCGGAAACCCTAGTGGTGTAGTGGTTAAGAGCTACGTCTGCTAACCCAAAAGGTCGGCAGTTCAAATCCACCAGGCGCCCCTTGGAAACCCTGTGGGGCAGTTCTACTCTGTCCTATAAGGTTGCTATGAGTCAGAATCGACTCGACAGCAATGGGTGTTTTATTGCTTATAGCTACGGTTTCATATATTAAGGAGGAGAAACTCCAGAAGTATTGATCAACAAGAAACTTTACAACTATTTCTAGATTTTGTTAACGATGGTTTAGTATGTCATGGGTATGTGGAAGATGGCTGAACTACTGTATTCCATAATTACCATAAGCATGCTATGCTAAGTTTTTAACAGCAACACGTAAAAAAAAAAAAACTAGCAACGCAGCACTTATGAAAATACCTACTGGGGGGAGGGTGCAATTGGCAAACAAAAGTAGAAAGCTCGTGTTATTTGCATGAAAATACGGTAACCTTTGAAGACTTTCTTCACTATGAGGAAAGAGAATTACTGTATCTTCCCAACTATATGATGACTTAAACATACATATACGGCTCACTAGTTGACAAAAGGCCTCTGGGCAATAAAAGAAGCCAAGCATTCATGATGCCTCGGAGGGCTGACAAACAATGCTGCAAGGGGCCAGATGCACAAAACACAGATGGCACCAGCGACCCCATCCATGTGCTCACCAAGGAGCAAGACCAGGAACGAGATGCGAGTCACAGGCCACAGTGCCATCATAAGTAAAAATCAATAAAAAGCAAATAACTCTGTTCCGTGTATGTTCTGAGTCTGCGAATTGAGACATGAGAAGGAGAACATACACAAATTTAAGAGGTGGCAAAAATGTGACCCATCTGAAGCTTAAAAGAAACCCTTACAAAACGCTACCAGAAGTGGTTCCGGCATAGGAACGAAACTGAAATGGGAAGTAGAGAGAAAGTTTTAGAGTCAGGCTTTACAAACCAGCAAGCCTGAATGAGATGGTCAAAGGCCCGAGGGCAGTAAGTTAAATGAATTAATAAAATAAATCAGCAACAAGGGAGACAGCAGCAAAACAGCGCTAGAGAATAGCCTCCGACCAAAGTGCTCTGAAAACGAGGTCAGCGTATGGCATGGAATGCTTGGTTTTAATATGTAACTGGACAACCCACTGCATTTCTGCTGCTTGGACTGTTCCTGACAAAATATTCTAAAATAATAGAACGAGACTGGGGGGCGGGGCAGCAGCATCTGAGGGACAAGAACAGTAAGACCTCTGCAGGCGGAGTTACCTCGGTTGAGTCCTCTCCTTCCTCCTCCATCCGCTTCCCCTGTCGCCAGTGTTTCAGCAGCCACCTGAGTTTGACGTAGAAGAGGAAGATGTTCTGCTTCAGGAAGCGGAGCTCCTGCTGTATCAGATTCTTCTCATCGTTCCAGGTCTGGGCGTGCAGGGTGTTCTGCAAAGCCAGGCTGTGCACTTCCAGCTCTTTCCACCTCAAGGCATAGAGATGTTCCTCCTCCATCTTTAACGGCATAAAAGACAGAGCATGAGAAGCAACTACCCCAACGTGCCACCCAAACCAAACCAAGAGTCTCCGCAAACGTCCAGTCAATCGACACCATTTTACATTTTATTGATCCGGTGGGTCTATGGGGACGGGAAACACAGATGTCCCCAAAAGCTTTGTTTGAATAACTCCCCTAGATATTTACATCTGAAGATTTACATTCTGAAGATACCTTGAGTGTGGTGATTCAGAAGCAAGTGCTATTTCAAGGTAAGGCATTTTTATAAACATCTTGCACTGTCAAGTCTTCGCTATCTTTAGCTGGGTCTAAACGCTTTCAGGAAAATTGTTTCTTGTATGGCCTGTAGCTGACTTAAGTGTGGATTCCATTTCCCCTCTGGACGTGGCCTTGGCACACTAAGGCACACTGCAGTGGCAGAATGAAACAAATGAAATGCTTCCCCTAACTTCCTGTACCCTCTGCTCCCCACAGCCCAACTAGAAACAAGAGAAAACCAGACCCACAGAGAGCCAGAGAGCTGTGGGTCAGAGGGAATTCCTTCCCGATGGACAGCACTCCATTGCACACAATGGTGTGCAAGAGGAAAGTGAGCTGATAACCTATTTCCAAGCTTAACGCTTAACAGTCATATGGGATATGCAAATCTCTTAGGGAAATAAAAGCGTGCTCAGAAGAAATGTTTTCCATCTTGACATTAAGTCCCTGTCTTTAAGACATAGGTAAAGGCACTCTTTCAAGCAACAAGCAATTATTATGTGTCAATACTGACAAAGCAGGAGGGTGGGAATACAATCTTACTTTACAGATAAGGGCACAAGAATAATAATTGTAACCAGTTCAATACGTACATGCAACGCTTTCTGTTCCACAGACCAAAAAAAAGGATTAGAATGCTAGCCTTACGTATCATTACCGGCTGTCCTCTCCTAATTTAACACTCCCTCTTGGGCCAAAAACCAAAGCAGTGCTTTTGTTGTTTTTCCTAAAATACCAGATTAGTTAATTCAGGAGCATTAGCATGGCGACCTGTGGCCGACACCAATGGGCCTGGGTGCTACAGGCACTGAGCATGGGAGATGCAGCTCTTGGAAAGGCTGAGGGCCTGCACAAGGTCCGCCTGTCTTCACACCACATCTTTTTTGTACTTCAGGTTGACCTAACAAAGTTGTTGTTGTTAGTTGCTATCAAGTTGATTCTGACTCATGATGATCCCATGTGTGCAAAGCAGAAGTGCTCCAGAGGGGTTTTCAAAGCTGTGACCTTTTGGAAGCAGATCACCAGGCCTGTCTTCCAAGGCACCTCTGCGTGGGTTCCAACCTCTTGGTTAGTAGTTGACTGCTTAACCATTTGTATCCCCTGCCCACCCCCCCCCCCCCCGCCCCGGCCTCCTTAACAGAAAGTAGTGGCAATTTATTCCCCATCTCAGCAGACAAAGACCCAGCACTTGCCCCTGTGGACCCAGAATGGGACAGAGTGGGTGGCAGGGCAGCCGAGCATACTGGAAGTTACTTGCAGTGCTATCTCAGGCCATGAACTCCTTCTGGTAAAGTTTCAGTTTCCTCCACTGCAAAATGAAGATACTGTGAGCCTCAGAGTGTGGAGACAGTGTGTGCAAAGGACCTCACACACACAGGTGCTCCTGGGAGGCTTCCAGTGTGCTGGCCCAGATGCAGCCCTGGGGGATGGGGATATTCTTTGACTTTTTACCTGCAACATCACTGCCCAGCCACCCTGGACACTTTCCTTCCTGACTCCCACGCGACCTGCCCTCTCCTCTTTGACCTCTCCCCCACTGCTTTCTGTTCCCAGGGCTCAGAGCTGGCCCTCTGGGTATGTTAGGGGACACCTCCCCTTCCCTTCTCTTCTGGACAAGCCTGAATGACACTCCACCACCTCTGACCGGGGTCTGGAACCTCGTCCACAGACGCCTCACCCAGAACCCAAGGGCTGGAAACTCCTGCCCCTACATTTCGCTATCAACATCTCCAGTGATAAACTCTCCAAATGTGTTGTTGTTGGATGCCGTCGAGTCAGTTCCGACTCCTAGCGACAAAACGAAACACTGCCCGGTCCTGCACCGTCCTCACAATCGTTGCTACGCTATGCGTTTTGGGGGCAGTAAAAGAAAAAATTACTTAAAAAAATTTCTCTTTGTTTAATAATATGAAATTATCTTCCTCTTGTACTGATACGTAAAGTTGACCTATGCATGAAATATTTTAAAAGAAGTATTTGTCTAGTAAAGGCTGGGAGGGCACATTAGACCATGGCATTCATCCTTGCTCTAAGCTGCTGGGACAGAAGGCAGCCCCTTAATCAGTTTCTGACCTATTTCGATTAGCAAAACCAAGGACGTATGGGGACTTAGGTGAGACACAATCCCTTGCCAAAATGAGTTCTTGGACACACCTGGCATCTCTATTCTGCACAGGATATGCATTTTGAAACACCATGCTGTGCAATTCAAGACCAACCATGTGTTAAAGACCCAGTTATCTTTCAAAAGCAGATATAAAGGAGAAAAGCAGCAATACAATTCTAAGCCTTGATATCTGTTAGCAACTTAATTAGATCCAGGGTGGCAGCAGAGATTGGCCAGTCCCCAGGCGGGTCTCTGGGCAAGGAGTGTTTTCCTGTATCTGTGAATCCCTTCTACTAGGAGCCCTGGGGAAGGATTTAAAGGATAAAGAATAATTAGCCAGTAACAGGTCATTCTAAAATAGCTAGGAGAATTAATCAGGCCACAGCTCAATTAATGGCCGTTTTTTTGAAGACAACATTTTAGGGTGAGTTCCTAATGTTTCTATCAGAAAATTTACCTAACATTGACAAAACTTTCAAATTTGCAGGACAATAAATGCTATAAATGCAACTTTCATATCCAGTTGCACTGATTTTACTCTGCTTTGCTGGCTGGTATTGCTGCAGGGGAAATTTAGAATAGATCTTAGGAAGAATTTCCAGAGATCACAATGCAAATACTGAAGAGCAGCATGTCAGAGAACACAAGGGTAGATAGCTCCCTCTCCTCAGGAGACGGTCTGAGGGGCAGCTCGACTGGAGGACCTTTCCATTTGCCTTCCAGTCTTGTGAGTCTGTGAGCCTGCAGGATGGACAGTGTTCTTCCAGATACATGTTGCCGTTCCTCAGAGCAGGGTGCTGAAGTCTGCATCCCATATTCACCTTAAGGATCTTGTGCGCACATCTCAAGCTCTCCCCGTGATGCAGTCTGGTTACGTGCATGAGCTAACCCTGGAGCTCCTCTACCGATACCTTCTGTTCAGGTAAAACGGGCCCCTGAGCTGATCGGTGGATAAAGGAAGGGGTTTAGTGGAAGAGCACGCTGGCTGAGGTGATGATGCAAGACAGACATCTGCACACGCCAGGACACACACACAGTGACACGGCTGTGCAGGCACTGCAGCAGTGGCGTGAGTCTGTGGCTACCTCTCCCGCGACCTCCTGTGGGGAGATAGCCCTCCACAGCAGCCCTGGTGTTCTGGGCTCTAGATCACCTGCGTTACCCATGGATGGACACATCCACCTGCCCTTCATCCTTTACCTAAGAGACAAGGTAGGTCCAAGGCGCCTATCACCTGAACTTCAACACCACCACCACAAGCCAGGCCTAGAGAGGCCAGGGAGGCCAAGATGCAGCAGAGGGGTCCTTACTCCACAGTGGCTTGGAGACAGTTTTAAAATTTCTAGAAGCTTCTAGACTGGGTGCACTCAAAGCTTGGCGATCCTGGCTGAATCAAGTATGATCAACCAAACCAAACCAAACACACTGCTGTCGAGTCGATTCCGACTCATAGTGACCCTACAGGACAGAGTAGAACTGTCCCATAGGGTTTCCAAGGTTTTAAATCTTGCCAGAAGCAGACTGCCGCATCTTTCTCCATTGGAGTGGCTGGTGGGTTCGAACTGGCAACCTTTAGGTTAGCAGCCAAGCACTTTAACCACTGCGCCACCAGGGCTCCTTCAAGTATGACCACTTGACGCAAAATCAGCCTCTTGGATTCACTTCCCAAACTCGTATGTCTTTCTAAATTGCATCCTTAATTTGCTCATAGGCCTTTTTACAAGAAGTTTTCTTGCCCAACTAGCAGTGCCTTTCTTTCTCACACAACCTGACCCCGGATGCTCTGAGGAATTTGGGTGGGGATCCTTCAATTAGCAGACATATCATTTTAGACCTCTAAATTATACACATTTCCTAAAAGGAACTGTATGAAGATCTACGTATTATATTTTAGTTTAGAAACAGCCAAAAAAATCTTTATTCTTTTCATTGGCAAAGTCTACTTTCTATGTCCAAATGGCAATGATAGAAGAATTAGCTACTATTTTTGAAATAAAACATTTTTTTAAGAGATGGAAAACTGTTATACCAAAAATCTCAGGCATAATTAAAATTTAAGTACGACATTTTACCTACGGTTTATGCTACTTGAAGATATGTGATTTATAAAACTGGAGACTTGAGGGGCTTGTAACGAAAAGAAGCGTCATGTCACTGGCCTGTCATTCCCATCACCTTTAACTGCTTTGTTATTTCTCACTGGACGGACGCTCTTAGCTCTTCCTAATCGGACATCACCTGTGTTGTCCCGAGTGAAAATCATACTCCAGAACAGGAAATGCAGAAAATACAGGGCACACTGAGTGAGAGCTCACGAAAAGGATGGAAGCAGAGGAGAAAATGCTGAAAGCTGGAGACACACACTCGGCCCACCTTTGAGAAACTCAACCACTGCTGAGGACTTACGGGCGTCTTGGATTTGCGAGTTGTTAGAGACTATTCCTGGAGTCTTTCACATCTAGCTATTAAGTAGTATTGCAGGTTCTCTTTGAAGACAGGCATTTCTCTACACATGAATTTACGCTAATGACGAATTTCTCATTTCTAAAAGTTCTATTTTATCATTTTTTAGTGTGCGTGGTCTTTTAGAATAGTAACTTACACTTTTCCCATGTTTGCTGTACCTTTAATAGTTCTGAACACACTTAGTGACTGTCTCTATCTGATAATTCCAGAAGGTCTTAGAGTCTAACCCTGCTCTCTGCCGTGTCTGTGGACTCTTGCTTCCCACGGATGGTGCCTGCTTGTGGGTTTCAAGGTTTGCACTGTGAGTTCATCTTTAATGGGGAGCTATCTCTGAATCTCACCTGTGACTAGGGTTGAGAATGTGCCTGCAGGCTGGTTTTGTGTTTGCTGAAGTTAGCAATATAAATTTCTTTCCTTGGAAACTCTTGGACAAAATGGGTCATGTAAATGAGAAACCTTCTCCTGTGTGCAGGCTGGTCTGTCCTTACAGATCCCGGGGTGGACAGGGGGAGGGGGCTTTCTCTTCCTGTTGATGCAGAGCCCCTGCTAAGGCTGACAGCTTCCTTGTTGGCTCCCCCACCAGCGGGTAGATTGGTTTTCTTGATGAGTGTGTGGCCCTTTGAGGGACCTGCCGGAGTTGGGCCGAAGGCCCTGTCTGCTATCCATTTGGAGCTATTAAACCCCGGGGCTCCTGATTACCAGTTCTGGTTCCACCCTTAACCCACCTCACCCAGAGCCACAGATGCTGCTCTGGTTTTCAATCCTGAAATCAATCACAACCCTTGAAGAGTTTCCAACTTTTCTGGAATCCAGCTATACATTTAAAAGGATATTTTATATTTTTATGGAGCATTTTATTCAACCAATATCTACTGAGCACCTTCAATGAAAGGTACTGTCCACAGTAGCAGGGACACAGCAGTAAATGAAGCCAAGAGAAACCCCGGCCGTGCTGGAGTTTGTCTGCTTTTGTTCAGGAGCGTTTTCAGAGGACCTGGGCTGCTCTATTGCTAGCTTTCCTTTCAATTATATGTTACCGTGTACATTTAAAGACCCTCCACATAATTTTACACATCAGGTACTGGCCAAAAGCTGTATATTGTTAGATGTTAAAATGGGCATCCTAATCAAGCTTACCTTTTAAGAAAAGCAAAGATCTATTAATTTAGTCTCTACGTATTACACTATTTACTTTGGTTTTAATCTTAATAATGCATATAAACTATTTTTACAGTAAATATACGAGCCTCATACTTCATCATCCTTTCATTAAAAATGTGTCCCTCTGAACCTCGAGAGTATGGCCCCCAGACACCCTTTTAGCTCAGTGGTGAAGTTACCTCCGAGGTTCACTGTTCAGCCTGGGAGTGGACAGCCCCGTA